GGCCGAACCGGGATCATATATATATAGAGAGAGAGAGAGAGGCCAACAAAAACCTACACCTCAGCCCGTCAAGCCCGTGAGCCCTAAACCCCAACCCCGTAAATTTCACGGTAGCGCCACACTAAACATTTAAACTCGTTCATCAAGACACCCTAAACTTGAAGTCTGTCAGCCATCAGGATTGCTTCCGTTGTCTCTCCTGGTCATTTGCTGCGCCGCTCTGAGCCTGGCTCTGGCACCCGGGCGTCAGCCACAAGTGTTTAGGGGTTTAGGTCTAAAGGGTTCAATCAGGGTTTAGGGTTGAGGTTTAGGGTTCCAACAGTGTTTGAGGTTGAGGGTTTAGGGTTTATTTAGGTTAAGGGTTCAAACAGGGTTCAGGGTTGAGGGTTTAGGGTTTAGGGTGGGTTTGGTTCGGGGTTCAAACAGGGCTTAGGAGTAGCCTAGAGCGGCGGGTTTTGCATGGTTCGAGCTTTTCAACTGAATTTACCATCTATCATGTAGGGCTGTATAAGAAGATGTTTGGTTGAGACATCTGTGCTTCAACATGCAGGATGTGTATATACAGTATATGTGCTCATCATTAGAGCGCCTGTGGTTTCCCGCGCGTCTACCCATTCAAGCCCAGATCCTGCTAGGAGCCCAAATAATTACCAATATTATTCCGTAGGGTTCCTTATTCTATACTATACAGGAGCACAAAATCCTATTCTAATTATTAAGCTCCCTGCATTATATGTGTTTGTGGGTTTAGCCTGTAGGGGTTAAGGGTCTTGAGTCAGGCCGTGTAGGAATGTTCATTCGGGAAGGGGTAGCGTGAAGTCCTACATCCCACCACTCTGGACCGAACTTCCGAGGTCTGGATGCAGCAGTAGCTCCCTATGCTCCATTCCTACTTGTGCTACAGTTACTATAGTCGCTATAGTCCGCCCAAAAAAGATTCTATTTTCTCGGATCCCTTTATCACACCCGAAAAAGCCGCAAATTCCGTCTCGGAGGCAGCGATGCAGTTCTATGGTTCACGGGATTGTTTGTAATATCATTGTCGTCACTATACAATGGTTTTAGCCGTGTTTTTCTTCAAGCCTGACCCTGAACCGTAGACCCCCAAGCGCAGGTAGCACCCCAGTGGGATCCGCGAGCGGCTTCTGGATCGAAGTTGGCACACAAGGTTTAGGGTTTTGGGTTTGGCGTTTGGAGGTCTTTGTTCAGGATTGTGTGTGTTTGGAATTCAGGCTTTAGGGCATTGCGTTTGGAGGTCTTTGTTCAGGGCTTTGGGTTTGGAGTTCAGGGCCAGGGTTTAGGTTTGGAGTTTGGATGTCTTTGTTCAGGATTTTGGGTTTGGAGTTCAGGGTTGAAGGTTTTGAGTTTGGAGGTCTTTGTTTAGGGCTATCAGGTTTGGAGTCTATAGGGTTTAAGTTTTTGTGTTTGGAGGTCTTTGTTCAGGGCTTTAGGTTTAGAGTTCAGGTTTGGGCCTCTGGGTTTGGAGTTCAGTGGGTTTTGGGTCTGGCGTTTTTGGTTCAGAGTTTTAGGCTTTGGAGTTCAGGGCTGCGGGTTTAGAATTTCACATTGAACGCTTCGGGCTTAGGGCCTTCTGTGTCGATCAACCAACCCAAGCACGATTGTCATTATCGGGATGATTAGTAGTAGCATTAGTATAAGGATATATCCAAAGCCCGAACCCCTAATGGTAAAAGCGTGGGACTGCGAGGCTAGATAAGCAGAGTGCATCACCCTGATCTTTGTTCCCACGTTGCCACGTTGCCGTTGCGGCCTCTACAGTAAAATCCTGTGACGGAGCTGAGCTGAGGAAAGATTTCTTCTGGTGGGCCTTTCTGGCACGCCTCGTGACTGCTATAGTTTACGGCATGGTCAGAGCTTTAGAGGTGGAGGGGCACGACTCAGGGTTTGAAGATTCTTGGGTCTTCGGGCCTAGATGGCGGAATGAACGTCAAGTGGCCATTGTGCAAGGTTCTGCTTGTCTGTGATTGCTTCTCGTTCTCACTTGGGATCTGTGTGTAGTATGCTCTCTTCGGCTCAACCGCTCTGACTGTGGATAGTATACCATGTGGCAATTTTATGTCTTCTTCAGTCTGCAATGTCCATCAAGCTAGTGACTAGTTGCTGTGTCCTTGCCCCGTCTGATTTCGCAGTCGATACGCTGAAAAATCCCGATCAAAGCTCGTCTTTACATGATCCTATTGAAGAGTCTCGAATACATTGTAGATGTCGTCATTTCAGCATAGCGATTCCAGTCAACGGGAGTGCCTTACGAAAAATAAGCGCATTTCCTGATTATAATACCTGCCCCAAACAAAGAAACTCTTTTTGGGTAGCATTTGGCCTGGAATGCCTGAAAAGGATTACGGGCCACGAATTTCTACAGCGATTTACAGAGTTCCTACGAACCCCCTCCAGGGGCCCCCTCCGTGATGTGCCGGGCGTCATGCGATCGGGCTTTTAGGACAATGGATAGGCAGGGGCTACAGGCTTATGGCACAGACACAGCCTCGCAAGCAGGAGATCAACACTTAACTGCAACACAAGCCCACTCGCATTCGTGCCGTTGATGGCAACTTTTCCTGCGATTCGTCTGGAGAGTTTGATTTCCCAGCGACTTGCACCCATCTGTTGTGTGTGACACGGTGAAACCTCTGCTTGCTCTAGTCTGGCATCTCACGGCCCGCGATAGATTGCAAGATAGGAATCAATTCGGCTCGCGTGGGCCTAAGCTGTCAAGGTAAGCCGAGAGAGCTTATGACCATCCCTTTTCCGAACATCTACCAGGTCTATGTCGCAGACCCATCAGAGGCATCGGCTGAGCCCTGAAACTCAGTCTGAAAACATGGAAGCCAACCTACGACTGGAAACCCTAAACCCTATATCCACAGCCACGGAAAAAAACCTTGACAAGATCATTTAAATTCGCTAGTTGGCTGGCTCCAGTTGCTGTCGTAGTCAGGCTTGTCTTTGAAGTACTCGTGGTACACGAAGCGAACATGTTCTAGCACGGTCCACAAGGATGCTGCCATGCGTTCGTTATCTGATCCCGCAAACTAAGCTTGGCACGAGCACCAAGGTAATGATCTTCAGCAGGGCGCTTCGTCATGCATCACAAAGAAAACGTCATGTACACTACTCAGAAAAACAATTCCAAGCAATGGCCCAATGTAACGACCTAGCATCCGCACGTCCGGTCCGTGCGTCTGCTGCTATCATGCTGCAAACTGAAGGGTAATGTCAAACGTCGATATGCATAAAGTACGTCCTCTACGATCAGTATGGAAGCCATGTTGCCGTTGCAAGCCTGCTTTCTGGACGGGCGGCAAGTCACAGGACTCTGATAGGCCTTGATAGGCCTCTTTCCATGAACACCACAACGAACCGATACTCAGAGAAGAACAATGAGAACCAACGGTCTTCAATGAAGAACAATGGCTTTCAATGTTGCTCGATGTTGCTCTTTGAACCCTCAACCCAAATTCCGAACAAATACAGACATCCAACAGGGGGTCCTTCGACAGGGTGCCTAGGAAGGCTATGAGCGATTAGGGCCCATTAGGGTAGATGTCTGGGGCCCATCATTTCTGGACCTGTATCGGAGCTCACTCGCCGTCGCTCTCTCAATCTATGAATGTCTTGGTCGGGATAGTAACCATGCAGCGTTTGAAAGGGAACCATTGCAAGAGAGAGCGCTTACAGGAACGTGTGAATTTAGTTCCTTTCTTAGGTTGAGGGGTTATCCCAGCATCAGACACTGTACGACTGCAAAAACGGAATGTAGCAGTAGCACTGCAGGCGCGGCCGGGAAATGCAGGAACGCGGGACTGCAGGGTTTGCGGCCTGCCAAAAGAAACGTTTAGAATAAACTACTTTGTTTTAAGATTGAAAGCAACCACCCCCCCCACCCCCCGAGATTGAATAGGTTTTGCAAACAAAATTTCATATTGGGGAGGGCGGCGTCATTATGGGAGCAAGCAAATACCCTAAAGCCCAGTTTGCCCTGAACCCAAAGCTGTCGTGAGAGCACGTCAGGTTTGCCAACGCAAACAATTGGCTGGTATACGAGCGCTTCTTGCCCGCATACCGTCTGCTTTCCACAGGACCACACTGTGTTGGAATTGAAGAGTTGTTTCTTGTCTGAAGTCTCTCCAGATAAGCCTTCATGTCACTGTGATCTCGCTACATCTCTATGCCATTTGTTTGGCAGGACTTGTAACACTACCTACCAGCAGCATGCATGGCAGCAAACAGACAATTACTAGTACCATGGCGATCGGGATGAATGCGTAAAGTTCCTGAAGCCGTTACACCTAAAGCATTCAAGCAGTGGTGGCGGCACCTCTGCGCTGCCTGCCATTGCCACCATGATTCCGTGAATGTCGCCAGAATCAGCATCACCGTCTTCACAACGGTCATCGCCATCTTTCACCTTCGTCGCAATGCCCGCGACGGCAACAAAAGAAGTAACCGCAGCAGCTCCGGCAGCAGCCGCGACGAGATCATAATCATGATGACGACGGCGATGGTTGGTGATTGCGTTGACTGATGATGACATTGATGACGATGATGACAGATGGCCGTTAATGGTGGTCATCTTGATGGTGCCATCATCAGGACCATGATCATCGTACCTAGTTCTGGCCAGTTACATTGCTACCCGCAATCATCGGCAATGCTCCCATCATACAATGAGTTGCGAATACTCGCACACAGGTGCAGGAGCACCATAATCGCCATCATGGTAGTCGTCATGGTAGTCGTCATGGTTGCCACCATCATCATCATCATCATCATCAAATCATCAGCATCATCATCATTAGCTGCATCACCGTCGCCCCTGCCACGACCACTACCAATGGCTGCGCTCAGGCCACCACAACCACCACCGCCAGCAAAATCACCGCAAGTAGCACCATGAGCATCGCGATTGTCATCACCATTAGAGCCGTAGTCATGGAGTGTCCACCAGTACTTTATGCCTAGAGAGATAGACCGCAACACAGGAAGGCAGATGCGGGTCGGAGTGTTGTTTAAACCAAACTTGGGCACGTCGGCCGCTCTCGAAGTGTTCCACGCCACAAATTTCCAGTCAGCAACATCTCCCAGTTTGAGCATGGTTACAGGTGACGACTACATGGCAGCTTGGCTTGGCATTCGGCATCAACGGGTAAACCAGGAAGACTTCTCACTTACAACCAACGGGGATTTCATTCATTTCTGGCTTGTAATGGTCAACAGTCCTATGCAAATTCAATAGACTCAACCTTGAACCCCCAACATTAAATCCTAGATTCGAAGACCGCAAAGCCAACACCTTGACACGGGAAGGTCGACCAGGAGTAAGTGCCATGCCAGGGCGTTTTGACTTCTGCAGTGTGCCGATGGGTTCACATGTTTAAGTGGGGCATTGTAAGCTCAAGCGCTCTGCAGACAGAGGCGGGCGTTCTTGCATGCATACGGACATACACACACATTTACGGTTACAGGCAAATCTACATGTACATGTAGATGCACATGCACATACACGAACATATGCGCAAATACATATACACATACAAATAGACACACATACGCAGACCCACACCCAGACCCAGATTCATACACGCACCAACACATGCATGCTCGTCACGCATGTGCACACATCTACACACATACATATGTCGGTACATATACAGAAACCATATTCATATATATGCACTTCTACACATATACATACATGCTTATGCGTACATACATAAATACAAGGATATGTATGTGTGTACATATATATA